CATTACACTTACTTCTAATGAATACACGAAAAATAGTTGGCATTCAAGTTTAATTCAGTCCATTCTTTTCAACGATCAAAGATACGGTGACAAAGCACCTCAGTCCTCCCTTGCCCGTACGTTTGCGATCCTGTGGATGTTAGAAGGAACAGTGTTGACAACTGTGTTTTCAGCTAGGCTGACCGCTGACCTAACTGCAGGCGAAATAGGCTATGATCTAAATCTTCTTGGAAAAAGGGTAGGTAAGCAATTCTATCTATAGCTGATAAAATGAGTGAAGATAGAGACCTTCATGTCTGGTACTTCTACGAGCCCCTCAGTAACCCTAGTGGAAGAGAGTATGTATGAATGTAATAATAGCTTAATTCGAGTAGCAAGAATACCGAATAAAGCATGATCGAGAAAACGTAGTGCTGATTAAATAGTTCTGCACGAATGGAGCCAACCATGGATGCGTTGCTCAGTGAGTGAAAAACGTGTCGTACATGAGGCAGTCCAGTTTTCAGGAACACTTCGTTAACATTAAGAATTGTTTCAAATAAAATCTGTTGCGACTGGAAGGTTCATTACGGGGGTTCTTGCTACTACTATTTGAGCCTCTTACTAATACTCGATGTTCTGAGTTCTTTAACGCGTTTAGTGGGTGGACGTTTCAGCGTTTAATGACAACACGATCAGGTCAAATTTAAATTTGAATACAATGCCTTGTTAATAAAATGCATTCTAAGGCATTCTAAGGCAGAAGGAAGGGTCTATGCTGCGATTTACTGTTCCGTTACAACATAAGAACGATGTTCTGTATTTTTTTCCACCATGCTTTTTCCATAAAAGGCTTAAACGCAAATTATGTTAACACTAGGAACACTCAAACAACCTCGCCACCTGGAAGACTCGCCACAAAGTGTAATCGATCTCGCAATGAAGGCTTGTTACCTCGCCACCAAACACTCATGCGGTACCGATTGCTGTAACTGTATTAAGTATAGCTATCAAACGTTTAATTTAATAAATGAAAGTTCCCTTGAGCTCTAATTTGTTGCTCGTTGTTGTTATGGGTAAAAAGTTTACAGAATCTCAGTATGAGCTTTCAAAACTCTCGTTCTGTCGACAAGAAAAAAAGCATGCGATCGATAAAAATTTTTGTCGATCTTGTTGTTTGTTCGTTCGATTAAAAAGTTATGGTCACTTTTCCTTTGATGGACATTCTAAATATTTACAGGCTAGACCTCGTCGTTAGATGGTTCGTTTGATATCTTTGATCTGATCAAATCGGTGGCTTTTCGATCGTTACGCGCACTTGACTCACCTTCCGCCATCTTGAAAAAACTATCGAGCCTTCAGCACGGCTTTGCAGTATTGCCCATAGCATTCTTATGAGTATGCTCGAGAGACTCGAGATCAAACTTAAGAATCATCTAAAGTTTTGTACTTATACCAAATTAACTATAGCGACCTTGGTGGCGAGTTTACCGGTGGTGACTTGATGGCGGCGAGATTGCCCCGGTGGCGAGACTTCCTGATGGCGAGATGACTTTAAATCGTTGTGAAGAAGCTGAGTCCGTATTGTTTGTATACTGCAGGTTGGTGTTCCTCTCGGCATGGAAACATTTCTCATAAAAGAGTTCAACTTCGGTGCAGATTTTGAAGGTAACCTCGGGTGACTTTGTTTCCAGACTACAGCTTAGACCTTCGTTCATAAAGAAAATCCAGAGAAAGCTCAAAGTGACTGGCCTCAAAATAGATGGCTGCGTAGCTTCGATAAACCACAGATTATGAAAGTGCTCATAAACTTGGATGGAGAAAACAGGCGGCTCTTGTTACGAGTTGATAAGTTTGCTAAAATAAAGTTATAAATAAAGGTGCAGGAAACCAAAACCACAATGACCACAAAGGCTATTCAGAAAAAAAGGTAAAATGTCACATTGAGCCAATAAGATATTAAAATAAAAACAAGAAACTGCTTGAAGAGCGAGAAACATGATCAAGCAACTCGCGGCTGGTTTCAGGAAACCAGGTTTTTAATAAGTATACTGTGTTTGAATTTTACTGAAGAGTATCCATCGTGAAAAACAAAAACATGCTACTTCTCTTCTAGAACTAGAGGATTTCCACGAACTGATTGACAGTCATAAATACTCATCGCTGGAATACTTGCTATTCTTTGACTATGATATGGCGTCCGACCTGATCAAGAAAAGGCGAATCAACGACCTCAAGATAGAAAAAAACATCGCACATGAGTTTTCAGTCGGTATGAGTCTGACAGGAGATTTTGGAACTAAAGAGGATGAGAGCTTCCTTGCGTGTTGGAGAAGGGAAATCGTTGACGACTATGAGATTGAGAAGGTACCACCAAAGATTTTCTTTTCTGCGCCAAAAGGTTTTTAGCGATAACATTTAAGGCTTCTGTTGATGTTTCTTTTACTTATTTGTTTTAACAGTCTATGTAGTCTTAACCGACAGGAGACAGGGCCATTACTCTCAGTAGACACTTAGTTCCGATATACTCACACGCAGCGATTTTCACAAACCGTGGAGAGCGGCAAGATGCCTGTAAACACGGCGCCTGGTGATATCGGTCCAAATATGGACTCACCCAAACTTTGAACCAATGAGCAAAGGATAGACTGACCAAGCTTAGGTTCTCTGTTATTGATTGTTCGCATTTTTTTTCAGCTTTTCGTCTTTGTTTGTTTGTTTATTTGTCTACTTGTTTTGTTTTAAGTTTTTTTGTCCGAAGTGATACACGAGTTTTATACCAGCTTATTCCAGCATCTAAATCCCCAGTTTGAGCACCTGCTTATATGAAGTAATAGTGATTCACATTCACGTGTATAATATCAGCTTCTTTCCCTATACAATGAACCTAGAGCTGTGTTTGTTTTGAAATTTACGTTTCATTTCAGGCAACTCGAAGGCATGCAAGAAAAGCCAAGAAAAAGGAACAAGCTTCGACGAAACAACCTCTGGATTCCAGCACTTGGGTCATCATCATCAGCGTGCTTTTTGTGGTTTTGGGAATGACAGCAGCCATTGTTAGGCAATATCGCTGGCTCAAAGCTCAGAACATGGTTGCAGGCCGGGTTGATTCCTCTTAACTTGTCTCGATATTTTTAAAATTGATGAAATATAGAATGCAACCCCACGACTACGTATAGAAGAAGCTTTACTTGAAGAAAGAGAACAAAATTATGTAGCAGCCTCCCTCAGCACCGCGGAAAACATCGTAATCTTTGATTCGTTTGACAGACTTCCTCTAGTCATACCTTACCCACGCACGCTAAGGATCTTGGGCGCGATGAAATCTTAACAGCTCTTGTTCCACGGCATGCCCAATCAAACTCAGGCACCATTCAATGATTAATAGCGGTACAAACCGGTATGATTACGCATGTTCATCATGGGGATAAATTTATATTACTTATGAGCACGGGATCAACGTCGCCTTCCGTAAACACGGAGGTTCGTTGTAAAACTTCTTTTTCTGTTTATCCTAAAACGCAAAACTGACGTCTCCGAATTCACCCTGATTGAAGAGCGTTCTCAAAAAGCTCAGTTTTCAGCGGAAAGTAGCAGTGTTCTTGAGAAGTTGTTTTTTTCAATTTCAATCAAACCACTGTAAGACATTCGTGACCAATCAGCAACTTCTCAACGGCTCGGAATTCATCCATCGTCGCATTGGCGGTCCACTTATGGATAAAACGACAATTAACTGTTGACAAATGATTGAAAAAAAAAAAAAAAAAAGATAACAAGGAAATCGTTAAGACAATTCTCACTTCAAAACCAACATAAATACCTTGCCACTGGGATTTTCTTACAAATTCGCGAAGAAAAAGTTTTCGTTTGGCAATCTATTTCAGCATGTTTATTTTTTTTTCCAAGAAGACAGTCACAACTTAAACAGATGTACTAGACCGTCGAGAATGCCAACGGCATTGGTGGGTTTTTTTCCTTGGGATAAATTTCTGAATAAAATCTTTCATGAAATGCTGACGTCTCTTTTCAATCGTGAATCTTTGATTATACGTTGATGACGAAATCCTCTTTCTCGTACTCGTCATCCTTCACAGTCATTTCTGACATACAACTATGGTTTCAAGTAATTTGTCATCCTTGTTTATTTCGTCGACAATTAGCCCTACGCATTCAAATGTGTTCATTCTCCTTCTTCTTTTTTTGGGTGGTTTCTGCTTTGAAAAAAACATGATATTTAAAGATTTCCATCGACAGATGGAAATTTCCCTCTTTTTGCTTCATGCAAGACCAACTTGAACTTGAACGGAAAATTTGCTAAAAAGTTATCTACAAGTGCAAAGAATCTGAATAAAAGGAGCAAGGGTGGTTGATGCTTGAAAATGGAGAAGATAAGAACAGTTTTTTCACGACAAAATGCTAACATAAAGGCTAATTTATTGAAATGATAGGAAGAGGGTGTCAATGGAGTAATGGCTTTTACGGCTGACGGTTAAAATTTTTGCCGTTTTAGAACTGACGGTTAATTTATTTCCATTGCCATTAAAAGACTACGTTTTTACGGTTAAATTCTTTTATCGAATAACGATTAAAATTTGTCAATTTTTACCGCTAACAGCTAAATTTGTTTGCTGTTTTAGTGGTTACAGTTAACCTCGTTAAGACCCTCTAAGAACCGCGAACTTTGGCGAGAACCACGTAGAACTGCAATTACGAATCCGCGATACATGCTCAGCAGTCAAACGCTCTAATGAAAACATGGTGGAAAATTTAGCATTTTGTAAAACGCTAAACAGAAAAACAACTGCGTAGCTTTTCCTAAGTTTCGGATATGTTCATTAGAAGACAGACCAGCTATGTGAATTTTACTGAAGACAACTGTCCGATTTCATGGGATTGTATGGAACTAATCTTTCCCGAGGGCAACACCTAAAATAACTGTTACTTGTGTTCACATTTATTTTTTGTCTTCGGACAACTCGCTCAATAACATAAGCTGGCTCAACAAAATTCTTTTACTTGTCATGCCTGTGAGTGCATCAAGTTGTGCTGTAGAGAATAATAACATGATTATTTTGGCTCTCCCGCTGGAAATCGTGTCGTATATTTTCAGATTTCTGCCAGCTTCGGATTTAAAATGTGCAGCTCTTGTTTGTTGTCAGTGGTCTAAAGCTTCGCAGGATCCCATCTTGTGGAGAAACGTTTCTGTCAGTCTTGGAACACGACGAGAAAGGTTTTCCCATCTGTTAGTGGACAGCCTTCAGAGACGCTGTATCCAGCATCTGAGATTCAAGCATATGACAACTGCTGCTCAAATTCTTCAAGTTTGTAAGCAAGTTGGATCAAATCTTAGAGAGTTGTCTCTGCAAGGCTGCAGATGCGTCAATGATAACTTACTCGAGATACTAAGTAAATACTGTCCTAATCTTGTACGTGTAGACTTGAGCCGATGTAGGCAGCTTGACGTGGCAAAGAATGTGATTTGGTTGGACAAGTGTACAAATGTTTGGAGACATTTGACTGTCTTGGATTTGAACGCTTGTAAAGACGTATCCGATGTGTTTGTTTCAAAAGTAGCTGATTTGTTGCCCAATATCGTGGATTTTAGTATTTCTGGCTGCAAGGGCATTGGAATTTCAACATGGCATAAGATGGCGAAGAAGTTGTCATCTCTGAAACACCTTGACATCAGTCGATCTGATATTACGGATGAAGTGATGCTCAAATTTTCTCAGATACCTGAACTAAAACTTATAGGGATAAATCTAACAGCTTGCAAACATTTGACTGATAATGGCATAGTATCACTGGTGAAATACCAGACGTCACTTGAGGTCCTAAAACTTGCTTGTGTGGATATTACAAATACCACATTAATCTGCATTGGCAAATACTTGCACTGTCTAAAGGTGCTGGACTTAAATAGTTGCAGACAACTCACAGATGGGGCATTATTGACTGTCAACGCACTTTTAATCAACTTACACTCACTGAACTTCTATTCATGCTACCAGCTGTCTAACAGTGGCCTAGGAAAGTTCTTATGCTGGACACAGGTACACTGAACTTACTCATATACATTTAATCACTCACCAGGGCCTTAATTGTCATGAAGGGATTATTGTGCACCTATCACAATACACTTTATTTTCTGTTGGCTTATGCACCCAACAATTTTTTTGCTTATGTTTTTGTTTTTGTTTTGTTTTGTTTTGTTTTTTTTAACTAGAAAGCCATTACTTGCTTTTTCTTGATTTAACCAGCTTGCCTTGCATTTTCACAACATCTCACACAGTTACCAGTCATCTATGTGACACTTAAGCATCAGTGGTATGTTTTACATTCATGTCTAAGAAGAAATTCATCCCATAGTAGTAACCACCTCCCCTTACACTGTGTAAACACGAGCTTACATATAACTTTTACCTCACAGAAACGTGCTTTAAGAGGTACTTGATCAAGAAATGGTGCTTGATATCAAAATTTCAGAGTTTTTCTCTACAGTTAGACCTCGATTTGTGTCCTATGAGTAAGGTAGAATACTGAAAATGCTTTATCATGCTTTTTTTTATCTTTCTTTTTTTTAATGCAGGGTACAAATCACAATGTCCCTTTAAAAGTCCTTGTATTAAATGGTTGCAGCACTCTGTCTGATGAGTTAGTGTTGCGATTTTCTACAGTCCTGATCAATCTTCAAGAACTTGATCTGAGCTCATGTCTTCATGTAACTGACAGTGGATTGTCTGCCATCACTAGCTCACTTATTAAACTGCAATCACTTCGGCTCAGTTGGTGTATAAACATCACTGATAATGGTTTGATTGGCTTTGTTCCCTCTGAGCAAAACCTTGCTGATGTCTGCCATAACAAGGATAAATGTTCCCATGCAGAAAAATTTAAAAAGGAAGGAGGGACTGCACAAAGTAAGGTATGCATATAGTTAATAAAGGGGGGTAAGTTCTGCATTGATGGAAGAGTATAACAAGGTAATTTGCATATATTGTTATCAGCTGAGTTGAAAATGTAATTTGGCCACCGTAAAGACTTTAAAGGCTGACATTTCAAGCATTAGCACTTTGTCAGAGCGATTGATGAAGGGCTGACACTCAAAACGTCAGCCTTTAAATTCTTTATGGTGGCCGATACCTTTTCAACTCAGTTGATAACACTAAATTACCCTGTTATCAGTGCATACTGTCAGCGAGGGTGGTAAAGAGTTAATATGTGATGCATGGATTTTATAGAAATGCAAGCATGATGTGTAAAATTTGAGGTGAGGTGTGATTTGCCTCTTGAAGTATATGTGACCCATGACTATTTTTCTTTCATTTTGTGAAAATATCAAATTTTTTCCTGAAATCTCACACTCAAAAAGAGAGATTTGAAGTTTCCGAATTTAAATCTGTGATGCATGAATTGCTGATCAAAGTACACACAGTGTTTGAAGTTTTTTAAAATTTGCATGAAACAGGATCAGAACTTCTCCTTTATCTCTCATACTTACACATGGCAAGGAAAATATTTTAATACTCCATGTATGATTCATATTAATTTTCAGAATTTTTGTGTTTCCTCTCCAGGTGCCAAAAGGAATAAAGAACCTAGAACAACTGAAACTTTTGGACATTAGTCACTGTACATGTATCACAGATGGAGGCTTAGGAAGCATTTGTCAGCTAAGGAACTTAACCACGCTGAATATAAACATGTGTACACAGGTACAGTTTATGGTCACAGGACTCTAATCACTCACTTCTTTAATGATATGATGGCAAAAGAGAAAAACTCCACAAATAATAATAATAATAATATTTAATACTTATATTGCGCTTTTTCTATAAAAATACTCAAAAGCGCATTACAATATTATTAAAAACTAAATTAAAACCAGTAAAATTACTCGGTAAAATTACAATATTACAATATTAACATTATAATATTAAAAAAATAAAAATAATAAAAATAAAAATAAATAAATAAATAAATAATCTAACTAAATATGTTAATAATCTAAATAAATATGTTTTAACAGAGCGTTTAAAAGAGTCGATTGATGTTTCCTGTCTAATTGGCAGAGGAAGACTGTTCCATAAAAAGGGGGCAGCCATCGATAACGCGCGATCTTCCAAGGTCTTCTTTTTCTTAGCTGAGGTCTTTCTAACAATATAAAAAAAATGCAAAAATGCAGGGAAAAGAGTAAATTCCCCTATCTTCTGTCTAACCCCCCAAAAAAAAAAAAAAAAAAAAAAGAGAAAAAAGGAAGAGTTTGAGAGACTTAAAGTTTCACTACTCATCTCCCTCCAACCTCATTTTGGGCTATACATGTACCTATATTCAATTTTGTTAACTTTTTTCTTGCAAAAATAGTCACATCCTCCACACTGTAGAATATGCTTTATAAGGTAGCAATGAAGACTTCAAAACTTACATTATACACTTGATAACAAAGAAACCGATCATTGTCAGTTGGAGGAATTGTTAAATTGTGAAGCATTCAGATTGTTCAGGGTTAATTTTGTTCTAGCTCTCCCAGCATTGGCTATTCTTGACTTTCACTTTGCTTTTGGTCACAGATTACAGACAGTGGATTAGCTGATGTTGCTGAAAATCTCCACACTCTAGAACAGCTGACATTCAGTGGATGTACATCAGTAACTGACATGGGTGTTTCCTTGGTTGCAATTCACCTGCAGAGGCTGGTAGCACTAGATGCATCTAAATGTGACAACATCACTGATAAGAGCGTCATGGACTTAGCAATACATGGGCGTAATTTAACCCACCTAGATCTGAGCATGTGCAGTCAGATTACAACAAATGCTGTTGATCAGTTGGAAGAGCATATTCCAGGTCTTGCCTCACTACAGTTGAGATATTCTGGGGCAAGACTTTGCACTAAGGTGTACGCCCTATAGAGACTCCAGGGTATGTATTTTGCTATGATGATAGGTGTACATAGTTGAGTAAGGGTGACAAACTGTGCAACAATGCTTGACAGTTGTGCAGTAAGTTGAACACTATGTTGCTTGCAACTGCTAGTGATTTGTAAATACAGAATGAATTTTCTGGTTTGGATCAATAGAAACTATTTACAAGCTTTATAAACCCCCCCCCCCCTTTCAAATTGAGGCTAATTGCAAGTCCTTTGTAATAAAAATGAGCTGTATTTGCCTGTCAATAAAAAAATGACTTCCATCAAAAAAATCTGCACTCGATCACCCAGGAGATTATGAATCTTTAAAATGGCCCATTATTTTAAAGTTGCATGTTAAATCTGTAGCTTTCTGGTGGTACTCATACATAGAATGCAATAAGAAACAGAGTCAATTTTCCAGACCTTTATTTTGGCTTTTCTTGAATTAGTATCAGTCATTTAATCTTTTTAGCCCTGAATCCCTTAAAAGGTGTTTTGCTGTGTTATGAATATTGTTCAGATATTTGGTTAACACATATACTGTCACATGTATTTAATCATCTTTAATAATAATTAAAAAAATTCCCAGTCATTAGCAATCTCTTTTAGCACTATTCATCTGTGTGGTATATAATAATATATAAACAATAGAATCTGTTTGATGTGAAAATATGCAGATATTTTTCTGTAGATGTTATCTGTTCCAAGATGAGCAAAGTTTTCTGAGAGCAAAGCTCTTCAAGGAACAGATAATGTCCAAGAACAAATATATGAGAATATTTTCATGCAAAATAGAGGTGTTTATCATCCTTTAAATATTTTGCAATACACCTGTTAAATGTTTACAAACAGCTTATTGTTTGCTACGTGGGATGTTTTCTTTTGAGTGTTCTTTGGTATGACTTTATGGACAAATAAATATTCCCTTCTTCTGTAACAACCATAACACACTCTCTCTTCTTGAATTGAATTTTAAATGAAGACTTTTCATAGTGGATGTAAGGTTCAAAAATTGAGGAATATCATTTGCCCAGTTTCAGCTGGGGGATATTCAGTCAAGTGATGCATTTAGACCAATCATGCAAGCATAACTGTTTGATGGATCATAAAGTTGAACATCAGTGCTTGTTTAAAGAATATTTAGCTTTGGTAACTATACATAGTCTCACAACAGAACTTCTCTGATAATTTTTTTGAAACTAATGACACTAGGTACATATGGTATGTTATATTATAGAACTGTTTTTTACCACCTATTGGTAGTGTAAAAATGACATTCTGGTTGATTCCCTTACATTACCTCCCACCCCTCCCCAACTCACCCCTTTCCCCACCCCCCCCAACTCACCCCTTCCCCCACCCCTCCCCAACTCACCCTTTCCCCACCCCCCTTCCTTCCTCACCCCTTCCCCCCCTCATTAGGAGACTTCATGAATATTCTACAATTATGTCTTACAGAAATAATGCACATGCAATTGTAGGGTGATTTACAATGATTATCTGCTGGTAAATTTAAAGCTTCCACAGTATGTATTAACTTGTGTAATACACATACTTCATGTGATTTCTTTCCTTTGAGGTATTTCTTTAAGACACTGAAACATTTTCCTCAGATGTCAAATATTTTTTCAGCCAGTGAGGAGGTTTAAAAGCTAAGTCTAGCATCCATTAGTAGATATATGTACATGTAGTACCACTTACAATGTACCACAATCACCAACTAACTTTTTTTTTTTTCAAAATCATCAAAACAGTCATACAATGTAATGAGGATTAAAATGTTTCTTAGATGTACAAGCAAGCTTGAAAGATATATTGTTATCGAGGGACATGAGAATACCTTAATGTTGTACATATGCAAACCAATTTGTACAGTTTTTTGTTGAGTATTTAGTTTCTGTAATACACAAAGAGGACAAAACAAAAGTATAGAGCACTTCATTGAATTTTTTTATACATTCTAGAACTTCTAACTATCTGATAATAACCTTGCTGAGTGCATAGTAACCAATAAAGAATACTCCAACTAGTCCAGCTATAAGGTAACACATGATTTTTCTGTTTGATCGTCCTGCAGAAACCATTTGTGATAGTCGTGCTGCACTGCCACTCAACAAACTTGATGAGCTCCCAAAGTCATCTCCCTGTTGATTTTAAAATTGATTACCTTGATTTACTTTACATCAATACAATACAGTGAGTTGTAGCTCATGAAAATCAACATCACTTCCCAGGTAATGCTACGAACATGAGAGGTGTAAAAAGTGTAGTAGGTTGGGTTTGTGATGTATTGGCACCAACTGTAAAAATATGCTCTGAGAAGGTAGTGTTCCATCAAACTTTTGTGTAAACATTTTTCCATCTTCTCTACCTTTCAGCTTGAACATGTTTTGACAATGGTTTGAGTTCTTTGAGTAAAAGTATTAACTTTAAACAGTGTGGGGTAAAGTGTGGAGGTCAGGTGATCAGAAAATAACAGTTATGAAATAATATTAAGTACAGACAGTTGAGTAACAACTACTGTATAATTATGATCAAATGAAAAATCTGTCAATTGCTTAGACAAATCCAAAAGATGGGTAGGGAGTGTATAATTCTGGAATTTAAACAGTTGTATTTCCACATAAAAAAAACACACACACATAGCAGCATAATTACCATTCCATCAAGATATTTGTTTTGCTGCTTGCTTTCATTCTCGATATCAATTGCGATCTTAAAAAAATTAAATGGATCAAATAAATTTCCATAAAACAAACTACATATTAAATTAGCTACGTTTGTATTACAGAGGGTTGTTCCTTATCTTTGACACCTCTTTTACATGGGGTGTGGGTTAGGAGTGGGAGTAATTTTGACACAGTTAGGAATGAAAAGGATTTTAACAGGTAGACTTGATTTAAAATCAGAAATGTGACGATGGGTATTACTGACAGGGAGGGGGGAGGCTCCAAAAAAAGGAAACTATCACATTGATCAATGCAAATGAGGACCACAGCCAAAGTGCTTATTAAAATTCAAGCATTATATATAAGAAATATACAGAGGAAGGTATGGGGAATATGCACACTAATCTTAGGGTCTAAAGGTTTGTTACAACGACACAGTGTTACAGCAATGTCTTCCTACCCCTTTTAAACGGGAAACTTTTGCCGCCAAATCTTCCACCATTCGATTGTTCTCTGTTTCCAACATTTCATCTGTAGAGGTTGTCCTCGAACCTGCGCAACATGCCCGGTGACGAAAAACATTAATTTAAAAATTTCAATCGAATGATCTTAAAAAGTACACAACACGCTCGCTTTCGATGAAGAATTATTTACATTTTACACGTCATAGGTTCATGGACCATCTAAAATACTTAACGCCATAATCTCTCTTCTCAAATTGGAAATTAATTCCTTTGAAATTAACACTGACAGAGTTTTACTCGCTACATTTGTCTTTTGAAGCGTTTGATTTAATATATTCCAAAAAAATCCCTACCTCGATTATTTCCCCACGACGCCATCTTGTATTCAGAAAGATTATTTATGTAAGACGAATGGTTTGTCCTCTAAATTTCAATCTCATACCCAGACTACGAAGTTTGAAGAGCATCTGACGTAAGTGTCCATTTAATTTGTCCAATAATTCGATCGTACAGAGAGCTTAATTGCAAATTTTTATTTGCGATTATTCCATCTTCCCTTCAAGCTTAACGCCAGGAGAAACTTCAACAGTATATTAGCGGAACCGGCGAAGCAAAGTAGTTCTAAATCTGTTGCCAGCCTGCTATGGTCCCACACTCTTTTTTTACTCTTTGCCCAAAAGCCATGACAGAACGCAGTACTAAATCATTATTAAAAGACCTAGTTGTGATTTTAGTACCAAGCCCGTCTATTGGCAACCTTGGAGATTTGTCTATAAAAGCTTTTCCTTTTGTTCATCATTGTAATGCCACGGCATAGGGAAGTCGTTGCTAATGTGTGATACTTTGTTGTTGATGCTTTGTTTTTCACAAATTATTCGGTAGAGTTGTAATCGGACAGTTGACTGTAATCGGTCACCTGTACTCGAACAGTTAAATCAGCCAATCATACTAAGTCGGTTAAAGGGACAAGTTTCTAAAGAAACTGTAGTGCTTCGTCGGTGGGGGAGTGAAACAAGATAATATTGGTTTCATCAAGTGAGTTGATAATGTTAATAAGCCAACGTATAGAGTTTCAACTGACGTTTCGAGCGTTGGCCCTTCGTCAGAGCGAATGACATCCTCTTGGCAATGAAACCTCGACAGCGATTTTGCCATGTTTTTACTTTGAACTCAAAACTACATTCAAGTGTTATGCCGAAGGGAAGATATTGTACCGTCTGAAAAGGTTAACACACCAAGCGAAAATCTTAAAACAAAATAAATTACCTCTTTTCGGCAACCTTTTATCACAAGTCACCGTAGTGACATCTTAAACTCCTTCATTACAAGTGCGATAACAACCTCGAGAAACTTTAATCCGGCATCCTGGGGTTGTAAGATTGTCTGTAAACGCGGGCTATTTTTCAACCACAGCTAGGCGGGTCACCTCACCTACCTGGGGTCCCCCACAGGCCCTTAATATTTGTTAGAGCTTTCCAAATTACCCTCTACTTCATTTCGTGAGACAAGATGCATTTTTAACACTTTTTCACTCGGTCAGTCACATCGATTCGTAATACCGTGTTGATTCCTTGTAAATAACCTGCATTTTATTACGCGTTTCAAACTTAGGGGGCAAAGTCCTCTCTTGTTCAGTATATCTTCATTTATTCGAGATCCCAGTATATCTTTAGTTAGGGTCTATTAGAGATACAACAGAGTTGCAGTTTGCCTTTCGTAGTAAAATTACGTGGAATTATATTTTTAAGGCGACTGACTTTTGATTTCTCTTTGTTAGGGAAACGGTTGTAAGCTTAGGCTCTTTCGCAACCGTTATGGTCTCGTCGCGCAATGCGCTCACTCTCCAACGAGGAATCGAGGGCGTTGTGTGACGAGACCAAACAACGGCTGCGAAGGAGACTACAAAAGTATTTAGACAGTAGAGACAACAGACCACAAAATACCTGTGTGAGTTTAGATAAATTAGGTTCTTTTTCTTTCTCTTAAAGTGATGTAATGCGATGTTTTCGCTCTTTTGAAAGTTATGAATACAAAGTGTCCCATCTCGACCTACCCAGCCGAAAAATAGCTCCCCCATGCTACGCATACCTATTTTCACCCAAAGGTAGGTTGTACATCGTCAACCGTGCTCAGGCAGCGTACATTGGTTACGAACGGAAGTAAATTTCTGAGCTCCGATACTTGAGCTAGGATGGTGATCACTATTCAATACCACGTAAAGGCTGAAGACCTTAACTTTTTATTAATCAGCATTGAATAAACGTGTAACACTGCTGCGAGAAGAAATGTGCTATAGCACTAACAGACTGACAAAAATTCACATTTTTTTTGTAGAATCTCAGTATCAACTACAAAACAGAGCATATATTCGTGTTCTCGGCGTGAGATTCTCAACACGTTGAATTTTGGTTTCACATCGAACCTTTTAGAAAAAAGCGCCTCAAATTTCTAATTCAGTGCTGCGTCAAAACCAACAATTGAAGTAAGAATGCATGTGCATTATGTATAGATATCACCTGTGATGCAAATGCGTCACAGACGTATGCCTTCAACAACACTGTAATGGTACTGATGGCGTAATTCAGCGAATGTTGTCATAAACCTCTTCGGGCGGCTAGTATGTTGGCTAATCATGTCTACGACTAAGCTATTATCCGAAAATTGAATTTTAGGCCGATAAGCGAAGCTTCGAGGGCAAATGGTTAAATTTTCAAGACAATATCTCAGCTGAGGAAACTGCCACCAGTAATACCAGCATGCCAGAAGTGGGTTTATTTAATTCATAACCCTTCCATTAATTTTCGTATCGCGCGTTGACAGAAAAAAATTTGTTGACTTTTTTTTTACTTTCCGGACCAGTATTTGAGACCATCTTTTTAATATCACTACATGTGAACTCTACAAAATTACTTCATTTTTCTCCCATGTTCTGTAATAAAGATTAAAAAAGTGAAAATCTAGACCGGCTCTTGTCCGCTGTCTTTCTTTCTTTTCCACGGAAATAATCGGGGGACAAATATCAACGTAACTGGTGGTTACTTTGTTTAAACTTTGAGGTGATTTTGAACCACGTGTCTTAAAGTAGTCAATAAAGTCAATAGCAATATACTTTATCACTTGACGTTTTTCATTCAAAAAAATAGAAAGATGCATGCGTATAATAGACAGAAAAACGATCCCATGAGAAAAAGGAAGGTTATTTGATTTAGCACTTCACAAGGTAATAGTGTAGCCGTATTGGGGATACATGTTAATTTGACAGTGGAATAATCAATAAAAGATAGGAATAAAAGCTATCTATGAGTCAATAGAGTAAACGGTCATTCATGTGGTTGACAGCAAAATTGCTCAGCTAAATCTGTGCGACCAACCAATGGATGACACAGTGCATCATGTAGGACCATGTACGTTGCAGCTGCGCCATTCGCCTGGTTCCAATGTTGTAACATTTTGTAGATTTTTTCACGCTTTTTCCTACAGTCATCGTCAAACTCCGTTAATGTTGCTTCCTCAATTTTGAGACGACGCCCCAACGGCTTCCATTCTTCGAGTTTCTGCGAAAGCCACTGTAAATCTTCGTCTCTGAGATCTTCTTGCTTGACTAAAAAAAATAAAGATATTACAGCAAAGCATCAAGATGAGGGGATATCGAGTAGTACGTATCGCAACTATTCCCGCCATTTTGCTGGATCCACACATTTTTATTTTACGAAGGCAGGAGGAAGGATGATAGGGTTGGGGGGTGGGGGTTGATGGGCACGCCCATATATATGTCCTCATTTACCTGCGAAACCAGTTTTTCTTTCCTTTGAAGTTAAGGCGTCACACGGAGACGACTTTTCATTTCGGCTACCTGCATAATAATAAATTTAAAGAAATCATTAGACCGCAAGTTTTGAGACAACAGATTAATTATAACAGTGGAGCTTCTTCCTTTCCTGGTTAAACGTCTCCTGAGGAATTTGTTTCAAGGACAGTTCGTGCCAATGCATTATGCATCCCAACTGTGCATCATTTTACACGAAAAATGCACGCCCACGAACTCGAACGGATGATTTATTGTTCTTTTTTTTCTGCCAGGAAAAAAAAGATCATTATCGCCACGTAAACGGATTTGGTGACATATCTCTTGTTTGGCATCGAGCGAAAAGTTTGAAAAAAATCGTTTCCATACAATAAACAACTTGGGTAAAATAAAAGACATTCACCAAAATTGAAAATTTGCAAGGGCTCTTGTGGCACTTACACACTTGTATCTCATTCTTAACAAACGTTAAGGGAAACTAATTAGAACATATTTTTTCGGTCAATAGATAAGCTTGTATATATCCTTGTCGATTCTCCTTATCCGCTAAAAAGGTTTCAGGTTTTTCCGTCGTTAAGGGCCATTTCATTTTACACGTGATAAGGAGGCCCACGTACACAAACTGAATATATTTTTTTATTTTTTACCTTAGTGACCCATCATTTCTGATGAAAAAACTTACCAGTTCGTTTCTTACATTCAATGGATTTCAATGCCTAAAAGGCAAAAGGAAATAGTGGCAACTTTACGCTTACAGTAATCAGTTATTAGAATAAATTGAGAGATAAATATACAAATAAAAGTAATTCAAAACGTATACTTTTATAACCCAACTGACTACCTCTCATGTGATCTCATGAGGAGTAAGTTTTTGATATAAGTTTATTAAGGCAAATGGTTGAAAAAACAGTATGTAATGATTATCAGATACGGAAATGGACGTCGTGTATCGTGAAGGGATGTTCCTATCCTTCTTTTGAGGCCTACACATTTGGAAATGAAAGAACCATTGTAGCTGAAATTCAAAATTAGCGAACCTGGGAAAACAATAAACTACAAATACTTCAAAAAGTATACAAAAATGTAGCTTCCTCACATAAAGTCACCCAAGGTGCTGCAGCTCACGGATAGCTGATTCTGACACTTGATATTAAGAAAACGCGATAATAGTAATAAAGGGAGTATAAGTATTTCTTATAAACCCTGACATCATTTAAGACAAACTGCCTAAAACATACGGCGAATTCTGTGTTTAGCAAAAGGAAGATAATTTCAAATGTCTTTTATCCCTAATATGAGAAAGAGCATTGCAGATAAAAGAAATTTTGAAGTATTTGTAAAAGATAAAGCCTGGACAAATTCAGGTTTTGATGGGAATCGAATATCCTACGAAAGTGTTGCGCGCGACAAAGCTATCTGCCAACCGTGAGTTTCAAATTATCCTGATTCACTGCACGTAGATTGAACTAAGTTTTTTTTCTAACCTGAACCCAAGGATCCAGTTTTTCTCTTGGATAGTCGGGAACAGCATCAACGGAGTGTTCACAACTCAGACCAGAGCTGCCTAACGGAATGTAGTGGCCACAGTCAAAATGAGAGCAGCCTTTCTCTTTGTGCAATATGCAAATATTGGTTCCGTCACGACACTTATCTAGACAAGGCTCACACAACTGGCATTTCACATACAATTCCATCGTAGATGATCGTAACCACGGACAGGTGACGCTTAGCTTAGTCCCGCAAACCTCCAGATGACTGCAATGAACAAACATAGCAACAAGGATATCAACAACGCCATTAACGCAAGCGTGACTCACTGTAATGTCCAATTAACTGAATGCATCTTACCTAATCAAAAAATTAGCACCCAAAAAGGTCCTAAATCTGGAAAAAAAACCTGTCACAGGGATCAGAACGATTGAAAAAGTCAAGAAAATTAAAGAGGGCCTTTAAGTTTCCCTTTATTTACAGCAATGTGATTGTATTTCATCATTTTTTTTGGTTATGGTATTCCATTTAATATTGCTTTAACGGTAATTATTAAGTTTAAATGAAACGAAATAATGCCCGATATGTTTGTGGCTTACCTCAATAATTCTTCGCAAATTCTTTTCTCTTCCATTCCATCTGAGTCTCGCTGTGTCCAGATTATCAACTTGATCACAGTTTTGTGACACTCTAGAGTGAGCTGGTACACTTCACTGACATTGAATCGAGTGGCGTTTGAAAACAACGAAGGGGCCATACGGGAGTCACGGCATAATTGTGATGCCCATTCCTCCCAAAAATGTACAACCAGTCTGCAAAACAGCCCGCATGGAACGTAGTTGGTGTTAAATGTGAGAAATACGGGCAAGGGGCCATTGCGCATGTTTGTGCCTCTCGTATTCTTCTTTGGTGATTCCAACATACATGGAACAAAATAAGGGTAATCTTTCCCCTTGCAGTTCTTAGAGTTGCATATAACATCAAAGCTTTCCATGATATGAATCAGTGAATCCTTTATATCATTCAGTTTAAGGTGTTCAAACGCTTGATTTAGCAACTGCTGCGAAAGCAGTCCCTTTCTTCCGAGGACTTTGTAATCTTTCTGAAGAACAGGGTCGTTTTTCCATGGTGGACTCACCGTAATTATCTCACATAGTATTTTAATTAACCACTGCGGATCTAGCACGACCAAACCATCTGGATTTTCAGGGAGATCTTGGTAGATAACTCTTCCACGAGCTTGTAAAAAGTGTAGCAATTCTTCGACGTCATCTTTGTCATTAAACTGGCAAATGCCTCCAGAAATGTCCTCTGCAAAATGCTTCTTACCAACATAATGCTTCCCTTTTTTCACCATTTCGTCGACTTTTTGTTCCACACGGAGCCACTGCATAGGGATTACCTTGTTGAAATTTGGCATTTTTCCAGCCAGATTCAATAATTCCGTACGCAAAGAAACGATCTGTTGGTCGTCTTCTCTGTTCGGATTTGTGTTATCTATGAAGAGTAATTCTTTTGAAATATGTTTTAAGGTTTCTGAATGAGCCATGCTGCAAATGGTTTCATGCACAGATTCCATTTCCTTGCAAGGATGCCTTACGCCATCAGCATGTGTACCCACAAGCACCACAGGAGGCAAAACTTGGTTAGTATCTGCCGACTTTCCCTGAAACTCTGGCTGTCTCAAAGACTGTACCAAGTCCAGCCATCTCATCATGTGATCGAGATTAGTGTCCTGGACGTAAGGTGAGTTTACCTCTATTTCATCGTGATGAGCCGGTCTTATCCGACATCGGGCAACATCACTTAACTCCTTAGTAAGATCTGACACCAGGACATATATGGCTTCTTGCGATAGGAAAATTGGATGAATGGCATGGTATACTGCCTGGCCAGCAAAATCCCAAATAAAGGGCCATATATCCTCATTGTCAGGGGTGTCCTTTGCCTTGAAGCGATAATCTAAGAGGTAATGGACACTCTCGGGTACTTCTTCTGGTTTTTGCTCACTTTCGACCTCCTGGAAAACTAATATTGATATTTTTTAATCAGTTATTACTTTTCTTAAACATGCTTTTCAAGTGCAAACAACATACAGAAGAATACCGGTTGTTCAAAGCAGTAGTAATGCCATTGACTGAATTTGTATTTCGTGTATAAGGACTAAAAAATTCATAAAAGCTTCGCGTCACTCGAAATAAACACTCGCCTACTCCTTTAGCAACCTGAGCAAAAAAAGAAACTTCTAATATCGAATGGTTTCACGTGAGTGTATGGGCAGAAACTTTACGGGCTTTACACATCCAAAATAATAGGTTTATGATACAGAGCTAGCGCAATGGGAAGTGCTTATCCCTATAAGTGAAAGGTCGAGGGATCGACTCCTGGGGCTTCGTCTTTCTTTTTCTTTAATATTTCCGTATTTTTTAAATTGTATTCTACGAAAGCATATGCTTTTTTTTTTCTTTTCATCCGGAACATCACCTTTTTCTGAGCAGAAAACGGCATTCGAGAAGCCAACTACCGAAGCACAGCGTTTGTCTCTTCTTTGACGACATAGCTCTAACGTTCAAATTGATAAAAATGTCAAAATGCGGGGTTGAGGCCCTCACAAAAAATTTAGCCTGAAAAGAAAGAAGAAAAGAAGATTCGTTTAACGATGGCCATTGTCGGAACTAAACCAAGACGAGTCACAAGAGATGTTACAAGTGTCTCACGATGGTTCCCCATTTTGAAAACCGCGAGAGGCTTAGCAGAAGGTTTACGAACTTGTACGACATCATAACGGAGTGCCTGCGACCATCCTAGAAGGAAGGCACTGTAGGCACAAAAAGGGAGGGTTTAATCATTCTAGAATACAGTTCATCGATATTGTCTTTTTCGGCGATCGATCATTCAAATTCCGGATCAACAAGGTTTGAAAACAATGCCTGTACTAAAATGTAAGGCGGCTTGTCGTCCTCGAAAGAATATATATCCGAGCGCTTCGTATGCGCAAGATTTGTTCAAACCTTGGTTGGGACCTTATGCACGCAGTATTAATTCAAATAAATTTTTCAGCCATCAGTAAAATTTCTGGTCTCAGATCTTAGCTGTCATTATTTCTTGGCAGACTGGTAACACTGTCCAATTCCTAGCGTCAGTTGAGCTTTATGCAAAAAGTTCTAATTGAATATGCAAAAGCCTTATACGTTAACGGACTTACCCAAAATTGGAAAGAAGATGTGGAAAGGAGTTCAGGGCGAGGTTGACCAAAGTTTCCAACCAAGGAAAATCTCAGAAGATTTAAAAGTCATGGAAACAAAGCCCTTACTAATAACCAACAACACACATTATTCGTGTGATGCAAATTATATAGGCTAGACGAACCGTCACCTCCAACTTCGTATTGAGGTGCACAAATATTCCGACATCGGTAAACATCTTAAGGACAAACACAATCAAAGACCGAACAATCTTCACGAGCAATTTTCCATCCTAAAGAAATGGCGCGGAAAGTTTGAGTACCTTATTTATGAGATGCTTTAAATAAGGAAAAAGAGACCGACTCTGAACACTCAAAAAGACTCCATTCCAGCGAAACTGACTGTTCATTTAATTATGTATACTCTTTCATTTTACTCCATCTCATTTTATTCTAATTTAGCTTAACACTTTCCTCTCTTTATATAACGTCATTGAACTTATAATAATTTTACATTTGATAATGGTGACATGTCGCCACCGAAATGTCATGTTTTAATCTCGCTACTTTTCGTTATATATTGCGAATGAAACAAAAGATAGAAATACGTGTACTTCAAAATAGACGGGCTGCTGCTGCAAGGAATTCATCATTTGTAATCATGAGGACGATCTTACCACGAAAGTCACTTAAATAATCGGCCCCAGTCTCTTGAACGAGAAAAGTCACGTGAGAAACGCATTCAGTTCGTTACCGCACGATGCAATTAGTGAGCCTCTCATTGAAAAAAAAAATTAACAATACGCTGCGGTTTTACGTTATGAATTGCTTTTGCTAAAGGTTGGGGGTTGATACTGTATTTACATTAGATGAAAATTTCACAGTAACATTTCTACAGCCAGAAACGAAGTTTGACTGAGCTAAAAGTTGTTTCGCTGTTCATCTTGACGGTAGCGACCGTGCTACCGTTTTCTTCAGCCTCGAGTAACCTCTCTGGAAGTTAACATATACCCTGAATCTGTAAAGAAGCTATATATTGTCAGGGCTACAATGAGCTTTGCCTTACCATTTCTATTAATGACTTCGTTTGAGACAAGGTCGTCATTTGAACGTTCTTGAGTCGCTCCCTTTCCACTTGTAGGTTCTTCAGAGCTGCTGAGTAAATCCTTTACAACCAATTCTGCACATTTGTGGTCAAGTGCACTTGTGTTTTCAAGCGGGGCTGGATTCCTCCATGCCTCTTTTCCTGCGTTCTTGACAGGGGAAATCATTTCAATCCCATTAGTGCTGGCTTCCTCTTCTTTAAACGCTTCACCTCTGAGGTATCTTCTCAGACTTGTTTTGCCAACACGGTCCTGACCAATCAACACAATTTTGGTACGTCTATCGAAAGTTTCGCCTGTCTCCAGCGCTCTCCTGTATGCTTCTTGTCCCATTGTTCCCCTCGCTTTTATGTAGAAGGGGGTTGACTCTGTGACTGTTCGAAAGAGTTAAAAGATAAATTAAACCAGTTAATTTGCTCCCTCGAAAACCTGAAACACATACAGAATTAATTTTCAGTGTGCAGTCTCATGCAGCAACTGTGATAAGCCTATTGTTACAAAGACCTCGAGAAGATATTTCTCCGTAATATTTCTTGGGACCTTAACTGCTAAGCTGAATTTTTATATGGTTTTCGGAGGAGTGTTTTCCACAATCCCGCTCCAGAGCACACTCCTCCGAAAACCATATAAAAATCCAGCTAAGAAGTGAGTGAACTAGACTACGACAAAACTGAGAAACCTTTCAAAAGATAAGTTGCTTTACTGAATTTTGCACTACCAGGAAACAATATGAAAATATACAAATGCATCAAATTATTTTCCTTCGCTTTGATTTGGTGACCAACGAATGAAGAGACACTTTTCCAGTTTCGAGGCGCTATCGATAACGTACATAAAAGATACAGTGGCCAAAAAGCATGGTGTCTGAGTCTGAGAAGTTAGGCACTATACTTGTATGTAATTGTATTGTTATTGAATTTCAAGATTAGTGATATATTACCAGGGATAAATTGGAGCAAATTCGAAATTGCCAAAAGTTCCTCACCTAAATCTCTGCAATTAACCAATGGATGACACAGTGCATCATGTAGGACCTTGTATGTTTTGCTGGATCCACGCATTTTTATTTTACAAAGGCAAGGGGAAAGAAGATGGGGTTGGGGGGGGAGGGGGTGAGGGTCAACGGGCAAGTTAATGGATATGTCATTATCTCACCGTCGAGACGAGGCATTCTTTTCTTTGGGGTTGAAGTGTCACTCGAAGGCGAGAAGCGGGTTAAACCTGTGACTGTTCGAAAGAGTTAAAAGATAAAACCAGTTAATTTGCTCCCTCGAAAACCTGAAACACATACAGAATTAATGTTCAGTGTGCAGTCTCATGTAGCAACTGTGATAAGCCTATTGTTACAAAGACCTCGAGAAGATATTTCTCCATAATATTTCTTGGGACCTTAACTGCTAAGCTGAATTTTTATATGGTTTTCGGAGGAGTGTTTTCCACAATCCCGCTCCAGAACACACTCCTCCAAAAACCATATAAAAATCCAGCTAAGAAGTGAGTGGACTAGACTACGACAAAACTGAGAAACCTTTCAAAAGATTAGTTGCTTTACTGAATTTTGCACTACCAGGAAACAATATGAAAATATACAAATGCATCAAATTATTTTCCTTCGCTTTGATTTGGTGACCAACGAATGAAGAGACACTTTTCCAGTTTCGAGGCGCTGTCGATAACGTACATAAAAGATACAGTGGCCAAAAAGCATGGTGTCTGAGTCTGAGAAGTTAGGCACTATACTTGTATGTAATTGTATTGTTATTGAATTTCAAGATTAGTGATATATTACCAGGGATAAATTGGAGCAAATTCGAAATTGCCAAAAGTCCCTCACCTAAATCTCTGCGATTAACCAATGGATGACACAGTGCATCATGTAGGACCTTGTATGTTTTGCTGGATCCACGCATTTTTATTTTACAAAGGCAAGGCAAAAGAAGATGGGGGGGGGGTGAGGGTCAACGGGCAAGTTAATAGATATGTCATTATCTCACCGTCGAGACGAGTTTTTCTTTTCTTTGGGGTTGAAGAGTCACTCGGAGGCGACTCTTCATTACGGCGTTTCATCTTTGGCCGAGGCAAATGTTCAGTAGATCCACCTGCATGATAACAAATTTTAAAAAAGTCATTAGACCAGATTTTTTGAGCCAAAAGATTCATTGTAGCAATGGAGCTTTTTCCTTTCCTAGTGAAACGTCTCCTGAGGAATTTTTTTCAAGGCCGCTTTGTGCCATTGCGTTATGAATCCCTACTGTGTATCATTTTACACGAAATATGCACGCCCACATACGCGAACAGAAGATTTCTTGTTCCTTTTTTTCTGCTTAAAAGAAAAAAATTATCATTGCCACATAAACGCAATTGGTAACAAACCATTTATATCTCTTGTTTGCAATCGAGTGGAAAGCTTGAAAAAAATCTTTTACATACAATAAATAACTTGGGTAATAAAAAAAGAGACATTCACTAAAAATGAAGACTTGCAGGGGCACTCGTAGCACTTCCACACTTGTATCGCTTTCGTAACAAATCTTCAGAATAACTAATTGGAACAGATTTTTTCGGTCAATAGACAAGTTTGTACATAGCCTTAACGATATTCTGCCTTACCAGAAAATTACATGAAATATACAAACGCATCAAATGATCTTCCTTCGCTTTAATTTGGTTACTGAAAAATGAAGCAACACTTTTCCAGTTTCGAGGCACTTTCAACAACGTGCATGGAAGATACAGTCACCAAAAAGCATGGTGTCTGAGAAGTTAGGCGCTATACTTGTATGTAATTGTATTGTTATTGAATTGCAAGATTAGTGATATATTACCAGGGATAAATTGGGGCAAAATCGAATTTGCCAAAAGTCTCTCAGCTAAATCTGTGCGATTAACAAACTGATGACAGAGTGCATCATGTAGGACCATGTATGTTGCAGTTGAGCCATCCTTCGCTTTCCAATGTCGTAACATTTTGTGGATTTTTTGACACTTGCTCCTATAGTCATCGTCAATGGCCCTTAATGTTGCTTCTTCAATTTTGAGACGACGCCCGAGTTCCTCCCAATCTTCGAGTTGGTGCGAAAGCCACTCTAATTCTTCGTCACTGGGAACTCCTTGGTTGACTAAAAACATAAAGACATCACAGCAAAGCATCAAGATGAGGGGATAGCGAGTTGTACGTATCGCAACTATTCATGCCATTTTGCTGGATCCACGCATTTTTATTTTACAAAGGCAAGGCAAAAGAAGATGGGGTGGGGGGGGGTGAGGGTCAACGTGCAAGTTAATGGATATGTCATTATCTCACCGTCGAGACGAGGCATTCTTTTCTTTGGGGTTGAAGTGTCACTCGGAGGCGAGAAGATGGTTAAACCTGTGACTGTTCGAAAGAGTTAAAAGATAAAACCAGTTAATTTGCTCCCTCGAAAACCTGAAACACATACAGAATTAATGTTCAGTGTGCAGTCTCATGTAGCAACTGTGATAAGCCTATTGTTACAAAGACCTCGAGAAGATATTTCTCCGTAATATTCCTTGGGACCTTAACTGCTAAGCTGAATTTTTATATGGATTTCGGAGGAGTGTTTTCCACAATCCCACTCCAGAGCACACTCCTCCGAAAACCATATAAAAATCCAGCTAAGAAGTGAGTGAACTAGACTACGACAAAACTGAGAAACCTTTCAAAAGATAAGTTGCTTTACTGAATTTTGCACTACCAGGAAACAATATGAAAATATACAAATGCATCAAATTATTTTCCTTCGCTTTGATTTGGTGACCAACGAATGAAGAGACACTTTTCCAGTTTCGAGGCGCTGTCGATAACGTACATAAAAGATACAGTGGCCAAAAAGCATGGTGTCTGAGAAGTTAGGCACTATACTTGTATGTAATTGTATTGTTATTGAATTTCAAGATTAGTGATATATTACCAGGGATAAATTGGAGCAAATTCGAAATTGCCAAAAGTCCCTCACCTAAATCTCTGCGATTAACCAATGGATGACACAGTGCATCATGTAGGACCTTGTATGTTTTGCTGGATCCACGCATTTTTATTTTACAAAGGCAAGGGGAAAGAAGATGGGGTTGGGGGGTGGTGAGGGTCAACGGGCAAGTTAATGGATATGTCATTATCTCACCGTCGAGACGAGTTTTTCTTTTCTTTGGGGTTGAAGTGTCACTCGGAGGCGAGAAGATGGTTAAACCTGTGACTGTTCGAAAGAGTTAAAAGATAAAACCAGTTAATTTGCTCCCTCGAAAACCTGAAACACATACAGAATTAATGTTCAGTGTGCAGTCTCATGTAGCAACTGTGATAAGCCTATTGTTACAAAGACCTCGAGAAGATATTTCTCCGTAATATTTCTTGGGACCTTAACTGCTAAGCTGAATTTTTATATGGTTTTCGGAGGAGTGTTTTCCACAATCCCGCTCCAGAGCACACTCCTCCGAAAACCATATAAAAATCCAGCTAAGAAGTGAGTGGACTAGACTACGACAAAACTGAGAAACCTTTCAAAAGATAAGTTGCTTTACTGAATTTTGCACTACCAGGAAACAATATGAAAATATACAAATGCATCAAATTATTTTCCTTCGCTTTGATTTGGTGACCAACGAATGAAGAGACACTTTTCCAGTTTCGAGGCGCTGTCGATAACGTACATAAAAGATACAGTGGCCAAAAAGCATGGTGTCTGAGTCTGAGAAGTTAGGCACTATACTTGTATGTAATTGTATTGTTATTGAATTTCAAGATTAGTGATATATTACCAGGGATAAATTGGAGCAAATTCGAAATTGCCAAAAGTCCTTCGCCTAAATCTCTGCGATTAACCAATGGATGACACAGTGCATCATGTAGGACCTTGTATGTTTTGCTGGATCCACGCATTTTTATTTTACAAAGGCAAGGCAAAAGAAGATGGGGTTGGGGGGGGGGGGGGAGGGTCCACGGGCAAGTTAATGGATATGTCATTATCTCACCTGCGAAACGAGTTTTTCTTTTCTTTGGGGTTGAAGTGTCACTCGAAGGCGAGAAGCGGGTTAAACCTGTGACTGTTCGAAAGAGTTAAAAGATAAAACCAGTTAATTTGCTCCCTCGAAAACCTGAAACACATACAGAATTAATGTTCAGTTTGCAGTCTCATGTAGCAACTGTGATAAGCCTATTGTTACAAAGACCTCGAGAAGATATTTCTCCGTAATATTTCTTGGGACCTTAACTGCTAAGCTGAATTTTTATATGGTTTTCGGAGGAGTGTTTTCCACAATCCCGCTCCAGAGCACACTCCTCCGAAAACCATATAAAAATCCAGCTAAGAAGTGAGTGGACTAGACTACGACAAAACTGAGAAACCTTTCAAAAGATTAGTTGCTTTACTGAATTTTGCACTACCAGGAAACAATATGAAAATATACAAATGCATCAAATTATTTTCCTTCGCTTTGATTTGATGACCAACGAATGAAGAGACACTTTTCCAGTTTCGAGGCGCTGTCGATAACGTACATAAAAGATACAGTGGCCAAAAAGCATGGTGTCTGAGAAGTTAGGCACTATACTTGTATGTAATTGTATTGTTATTGAATTTCAAGATTAGTGATATATTACCAGGGATAAATTGGAGCAAATTCGAAATTGCCAAAAGTCCCTCACCTAAATCTCTGCGATTAACCAATGGATGACACAGTGCATCATGTAGGACCTTGTATATTTTGCTGGATCCACGCATTTTTATTTTACAAAGGCAAGGCAAAAGAAGATGGGGGGGGGGGTGAGGGTCAACGGGCAAGTTAATGGATATGTCATTATCTCACCTGCGAAACGAGTTTTTCTTTTCTTTGGGGTTGAAGAGTCACTCGGAGGCGACTCTTCATTACGGCGTTTCATCTTTGGCCGAGGCAAATGTTCAGTAGATCCACCTGCATGATAACAAATTTTAAAAAAGTCATTAGACCAGATTTTTTGATCCAAAAGATTCATTGTAGCAATGGAGCTTTTTCCTCTGTTTTTCTCTTTTCTTCCTTTATTTTACAAAGGCAGGGGAAGATAAATATTGATCTTTGGTGGATTGCCTTGAATGTTCTTGAAAGTGCTTGTTTCCATTCTAACTTATAAAAATGCTAATCAGCTTCTGTAAAAGAAACAAGACAGAGCAATTGATAAAATACATTGAAGACCTAAAGCCATTCCATAGAACAAGCACTGAGATTGTTGTCAAATTGTATATGTTGGCTGTAACTCTTAAGGGAAAGTAAAATTTGAAATAAAAAAAGGGAGGTACCATGCTCTTTTATGAGCAGCAGTACCTTCTAGATATCCACTGATATCATTCCTATGATATCATGACAATTACATTTGTGAGTATTTTTTAAATTGGCATTTCTGACATTTTTACCTTTCCCTACACCAAAAATTGGTTTAAAGTTGTTTGACAGAAAGAAAATAGTTTCCCAATTCCAAGAAAAAGAAAAATGTTAGGTGTCCAGGCTCATTTGTGAGAAAATGACAATTTTCTCCTCTGATAAGCTCCTAGTTACATTTGAGATTATACACAGTCAGGAAGCGCAGTGCAATACTAAGGAATGACCCTAAGCAAAGTATTAACATGTAATTGAATTTACAATCTTTTCGCTTGGACACAATAATTAGCCTCCCGAATATTATACCACCCATTTAATAAGGTTTAATACAACTGCAGGCATTAATTCGTTTCTGTATATAAGTAGCATTTATTTAATTCTGGAAAGAAAAAAAATTTGAAGATATTGGCCCTAAATCATATGCAAATAAATATAGCTTTAAATTTGTTGTAAGAAAATTTGCGGACCAGCCTCGAAACTGAACCACCTCAGTCCTGATTTAGGACCTTTTAAAGTTCGTCAGAAGGGCGATTTGATTTGAGTCTCCGCAAACAGTGGTTGGTCATTGAGTATGATTTTTCAAAATGGTGACTAGAGACCGTGCAAACGAAAATAAAGAAGGTGCCTACGATGCAAGAAAATATATAACACTTGAGATTGGACTCATAATGTCGTTGGATTACGAACCTTGCACGAAACAGTAATTTAAAGATATCACCTGACCTAACGAACAATCAATTGATGAATAAGCGTGATCCTAACTTTAATATCTTCGCTATAACAATTGCAACTTGTGACTTGAGTTATTTGCAAGAGAGTTGACCAACGAAAATCCAAAGAAACAAATTCAAAATCAAGGTAAGGAGCAGAAGAGTATAACAAATCCCACAGTTTATCTCTGAGTCTGAACATCTCCCAGCTATCGATCGAATCAAACGGAACTCGATTGTTTGGATGAAAACAAATACCCGTATGTATGATGAAAATTGTGCGCTTATATTACGTACGAGTCAAATTTCATTACAATAAAGTTCGGATATAATGCGCGCTGTCATTGTTGAGCTAGAGCCGTCCGCCATCTGCCAAATTGTTATATGTCCGACCTTTTCCGGGACTTCTCCCTAGCCTCTTTTCGTTAATGGAAAGTGAAATTTTGGAAAAAGCGAGTCGGCAAGTAACAACAGAAGAACCAAGTTAGGGTTTGTAAACATGCCAAGCGCCGTTTTTTACTTTATTATATATAACGTGAGCAGAGACGAATATCACATAGAGAAAATGAGATGGACAGTCTGAGTTTTTAAGGTTTTCTCGCTCAGCGGTTTTTAATGGTAAAGCTTACGTACGGTAACAAGATTCAAACACAGTTAAATTCGACCTGCCGAACTATTTCAGTTTGTAAACTGTTGCAGATTACAGTGAACTTTGATGGTTGGACATTTTTTGACAGCTTCAGTCGTAGGGCCTTTCCTCACTAGCGGACAAAACTAGAATTGTTGCGACGAAATCAAAGGACAAACTATGTCACAACAAATTTTTTTTGTTGTTGTTTCGTCTGTTGTAACCGCATTAAAAATTTCAAAGCAGACAAATTCCGTCAGCGCCTGATTTGTTCATAAGACCGGCCAGCATAGTTGCCGAAGGATTCCACTTCCAATTTCAAGGATTTAGTAAACTGATTACAGTTCCATTACACGTTTGTCGTAGCTTGTAAGACAAACGATTGACAAGTTTATCACGGTTTTGTTTATTAAGTCGATTTTGCATAATTTTTACCCGGGACAAATTTTGTTGGCGGTGCTTCTGAAGATTTGTTCGCTTCAGCCAAATTCGACTTAAGAAGTGGGGAGAAACAAAATCGTCTTTCTACCTAAACATGTCACATCATATCATGATCAGTGCAGGATAATAGTCTACACCGGTGAAGTGTAAGCAACTTGTATATATATCATCGTGAAGGTATTTTCTTTGGAGATCAAAGTTTTAATTTGATATTTGCTAAGGTTTATTTAATCTACAGATGTTCTCCTTGCTTGGAGCACTTTGAGGCTTCCCAAAAGGGTTCTTCAATCCCACGGGCCCTACTAAAATTTTCTCTCAAGGTTGCTGATCTTAAGGGAAAGTACAATTTGAAGCGAAAAAGGGAGGTCCCATGCTCTTTTATGTGCAGCAGTACCTTCTAGATATCCATATCATTCCAGTTCATATCATGACAGTTACATTTGTGAGAATTTGCTAAAATGGCATTTCTCAAATTCTTTCCTTTTCCTACACTAAGAATTGGTTTATAGTTGTTTGACAGAAAGAGAATAATTTCCCAATTTCAAGAAGGAGAAAAATGGTACACTGTAGGTTCCCAAACTCATTCGCGAGAAAATGACATTTTACTTCTCTGGTGAGCTGCCATGGAGAAGAAAGGCACCATTCTTATGAAGTATGCACCATAGTTACATGTGAAATTATACACATTGAAAATGTGCAATACTACGGAATGACCCTAGGCAAAGTATTAACATGTAACTGAATTAACACAGAAGGAAAGGAGGTAGAGCTAGTCACTAGTACAAAGTTACTAGGCCTTACAATAGCGAACGACCTAACATGGAGCGACCATGTAACTGAGATAACCAAAAAGGCTAACAAGAGACTCTATTTCCTAACTCAGTTAAAGAGAGCGGAAGTTCCGA